CTGCCTCGAAGGGCTTACAATGGTTTAAATAGCAAAACCCTAGCAAATTTCGGAAAATAAATAATAAAAATAAAAAAAACGATATTTTTCCATAAATGGAAAAATTCGAGATTCTAACTTAAATGGAAACTCCTAATATTCAGGATCGTCCTCCAACAAACGGAATCAAAATCCGAATTTTATTCAATGAGATATTACCAAAATAAAAATTACCATAAACGGCAAAAATGTGTGATCGAGAGCCTAAACGATGGAATCTATCCGAAATCCGACGTACGTCATGGCCAAAGGCCATGAGTTGTGATCCTTGGCCCGTTTCCACTCAAATTAGACTATTAATTCGTCAAAAACGGACAAACTCAAAGTTATCATGAAATCATTATTTTGCCTTGCGATCCCACTTCATCATAAATTCTAACTCCTTATGCACTTCATCACAAACACTTGTAAACTAGCATATGTAGTTGCGGTGGAGTATAATGAGAATTTGTGTGGGTGGGTTATTTTTTGCCTTCCTATCGAGTCAATGGAAGACTGAAAGTGCATAACTTTTAGTTTACAAACACTTGTTCGGTCTAGAATTATGTAAAAATAGTTTATATACCCTGAAGACAGCATCAAAACATACAGTACTAAAGCAAGCTTGTGATATGATTTAAAGGGCACCCTTGAAATTTTCTATAATCAACATAAAATGATATGGACTTGATCCCATACTGAGCTTGTAGAAGCCTACTTTGAAGGTAGAGAACTTAATTGGTTTTGATAGTTTAATCCGTGTAGAGTAAGCTTCACTGCTCTATTCAATATGAATATATGCATGTAAAGATTCGAACATTAGGTTCATGACGTGCCAAAAAATCTCAGTTAAGAAACTATGCATTAAACTAGAATTGACTCTAATATGTATAAAGAGTTTTGCTCAGATCTAATTCCATTTAACTCATTGTTTGTAGGAACTTCCATCAGCCTTTAGTCTACGATTCAAAGGAGCCGTACCAGAGAGGGCATATCTTGTAGATCGAAACGCAAATTTGTGGATTGTGAAAATGGCCAAAATTGGAAATGACTTGTTTTTCTGTGATGGCTGGGAAAAATTTGTTCAAGATAACTCTGTCGAAGCAAGGGATGTCTTTGTGTTCCGATACGATGGGTACAGTTTATTTGATGTAAAATTATTGGGTTTAACAGGTTGTGATAAGGAGGGTTTTGGTGAGGCACAAGTCGAGCAAGTGACTCGTGGTAAGTTCGACATTTATTTCTGCCCATTTTTCCCAATTGATTTGGTATGCTTAACTTTCAGTTTATACAATTTCTTGCTAATGGTATTGGTTGGTTAAGGTCGACCCGTTCAACGTCCTCTCAGTCCTTATGGTAATGACATGTTCAGATCGGGTTTGGCTATCCGGCCAAGAAATCCTTACTTTGTCACCAAAATTAAGAAATCGAGGCCGGATGATTTGGTAAGCCGCACATTCATGTTTCTAAATTACTTCAGTTTGACAAATTACGGATAATTTGTGGTGTTTTGAGCCAATGATGGATAAATTATCGTGGCAGTATATCCCCAAAGAGACAATCAAGGACTTCCAGCTGGACAACCTACCTGAAGAGATGTTTCTCATTGATCCGCAAGACAGAAAATTTCCAACGAAGATCAAAAGATGGAAGGATGAGCGGGTGTGGTGCCGAGGAGGCCTGAAAAGTCTGTGTGCCGTGAACCTTGTAAGCCAAGAGGACACATGCATCTGTGAATTTGTTGATGGTGGCTTAAGTATCAAATTTGTTCGAGGAAATAGTTGAAGGACGTTTAAAAATATATTTTACATACTTTTGGAGTCATATAAATTGTGATTTTACTTTTTATTATGTTATGTCGGTAAGTACAATTTGTTAGCACTTCTACATAATGCTAGTCCGTTAATTCTCGATGCTCTATTTTCTTTCCTTTTCTGGATGCTGATGTTTCTAGAACCCTGCCCAACATCTTTTATTGTAAGATCAAAGTAGAACTTGTATCCCAAACACTTAGGATTTCTGGGTGGGTTGATTCTCTGTATTTACCTGGTATCACTCGCTCTGGTCATCACCAAGATTTCTCAATGATGAGTATATGTAATTTTCTTATCCGAAGTGCGGCTCATGCACTTCCGGTGCGTGAAAAGCATCGGGTATATCGTGTGCTTGCATTGTGATATTTAAAGTGGAGTACGCAATCTGTCTCTTTGGGCATTAATTATCTTTTTAGTGGCGCATTGAACATTATGATGGATTTGTATCATGACGCATGTCACATTTGACTTAGCTTTAAAAAGATTGGTTAGTATCAAAATCCATCAATGTAAGGTGCACTTCAATTATTGTCAAGAGTTTTCCAAAAATCATAAAAAAGTGCCGACAAGATGGATGTGCAAGAGATTGATGAAGATTTTTAATTAAGCGATACACGTTAATGAGAATAGGGAGTTGATACTGACAAATACCTCAAAACGTTATTTTCATAGCATCGTGATTATCTACCTTAGGCAGTTTTATTACCACCAAGAACTTCGTTTAGCGCTAAATATCTTTTCTACTGACATGAATGACTCTAACTATATTTAGATAAAAACCACTCTTCTTAACATTTTAGACATAAAAAAATTGTTTGCACCACAATCATTAACTTGTTTTTATTTTACCCTCAGTGGCGCCTTCTTCTACTTTTCCCTCATTGGGGACCTTTTTATAAATATTTGTGTGTGAGTTTGTAGAGAAAGAGAGGTATAGGACACTGAAGGGGTGGGTATGGTGGGGCGCCTGGAACATGGAAGAGAGAGAGAGAGAGAGAGTATGTATGTAAACCACTACTGTGTTTTTTCCTTTTTATTTGTATTTAATTTAAGGACCATGCTATGTGTACACAATGGTGTACACATGGCCTTACACCACCCTCACATGGAGGGGGGCTCACGCACAATAAAATATTTGTAGGCCCCCTCCATGTAAGGGGTGTGTAAGGCCGTGTGTACACCACCAGGTGTACACATAGCATTATTCATAATTTAATGGATAGTGTTATAATTATAAGATTATTGTGGTGTATTTAATGAAATATTATTTTAATTAGGGTCTAATTATAAAGTGTGAAGAAACAAAATTTGAGTGGCAATTTAATTCCCCTTGAATCCAAAAACATCCTTCAATCCCAGTGGCCCTAAAGTAATTCTTTACAAAATAAACTTACCAAATTATCCCCAATATTGTAGTATTTCCATACCATCCACAAGAAATGCAAAACCAAATTACCAACTCACCCCTTAACTAAACACCCTAATCTAACGAAATAGTAATACATCTCAAGTTCATATTCGTCCTTCCACCACTCTTTTCAGTACCCACAGTGTCAGTTCTAGTAAATTTAATATCATGGAGGCCCGTTTATAGAGGTTAGAACAGTATCAATAAGGTCTGAAATCTTTTTCCTTCTTGTATACATCTATATTATTTTTGAAACCTTAGCCATTCACTGGAGTGTTGAGTTTCGTCCAGGGGATCGCTTGAAGTAACTACAAAATGTAAGCTCTGTTGAGATCTTGGTTTGTGTGTGTAGGTGAATTTTTGGAATGAACTCTCAGCAAATGGACCATAACTTTGAAGGAAATGCAGGTCTGGTCCTGAAAATTTACGCCACGGATCGGGAGGTCGAATTTGTTGAGATGTTTGTTTTTATATATGCTTTTTAAAAAAAAAAATTAAGTTCATACTAATCGACCGTAACTTTGAAGGAAAAGTGGTTTTGGTCACTGGAAAATTTATGTTGGGGATAGGAAGTTTGAGATCCCCCCCTAGCTGAATTTAAGTGTGTTATCTGTTGCTTTCTGTTAAATTTCAGAATCTCTAATCTTATTTTATTTTTCTGAAAAAATAATTAAAAAGAATCTGCGATAGAGGAATAAAAAGAAGGTTTAAAATTGAAATCAAACTGTTGTGGAATGCGTAGTGTTGATTGCAATGGGCTCTTTAAATTATGAGATCTAGTTTATTCTGTAGCTGAATATGTGATACACACTACTTTTCTTAATGATGAGTATATATAATTTTCTTATCTGGAGTGCGGCTCATGCGCTTCCCGTGCATGAATAGCATCATGTACATCGTGTGCTTGCATTGTGATATTTAAAGTGGAGTATGCAGTCAATCTCTTTGGGCATTAGTTATCTTTTTGGCGGCGCATTGAACATTACGATGGATTTGTATCATGACGCATGTCGCATTTGAATTAGCTTTAAAAAGATCGGTTAGTATCAAAATCCATCAATGTAAGGTCCACTTCAATCATTGTCAAGAGTTTTCCCAAAATAAAAAAAAAGTGCCGACAAGATGGATGCGCAAGAGATTGATGAAGATTTTTAATTAAGCGATACATGTTAATGAGAATAGGGAGTTGATACAGACAAATACCTCAAAATGTTATTTTCATAGTATCATGATTTTCCACCTTAAGGCAGTTTTATTACCACTAAGAACTTCGTTTAGTTCTAAATAAATGAACGGCGGCTACAGTCTTCCTTGCTTTGTGCTTCTTCTGTAGCGTTTTTTCTTCCCTTTCTCTTCCAGCATTTGTGGTACAAATAATTCATATCGTGTCCTATGTGGGCATCCAAGCAACCAAAGATAAGGGGTGATTGTAGTAGTGGTTTTTGGTCTTGGAACATTGTGGTTTCGATTCGGTATCTTTGTGAAATACTGACCCCGAAAGCCTTGGTGTCAACATTTGGTATCAGAGCCTTGGTGGCATGGTGTGAGAGTCCGGCCAAGACCAGAAACCGGCAGGAGGAAGGATCAAAAATTCTGTTTTGATTTTCATAGTTCAATTGCACCTGTAAACTCGATTTTCGGCAAAACCAGTGGCCATTTGAAAGATTTAATACCACATGGAGAATTAGCAGGTGGAGACGCACTTGGGTCCATCGCACATGAGAGTCACGGCTGCCGACTGCAGCGGCTTTTGGCGAGGCCCGTGGGACTTCTTATGGCGAAGGTTTCTTCAAACATTTTATCCTAATGAAATTTGTAACGTCTCTGTGGTGTTATTTTTCTGTTTCAGGTAATACAGAGAAATCTGGATGATTTTGCTCTTGTGCATTGTTGATTCAGTTTTGCAATCGATAGTTTGCGGTAGACTTTAGGGCGAATAGTTGTGGCCCTAAAGTGTTAAAATCATATTTCTCGTAATTTATGGACTCAGATAGGTCCGCTTTGGTAAATTGGCTAATCCTGTTTAATTTTCAGCACTAGCGCGTCATCATGTGGGATGATAATAGGATTGTGGTTATCATGTGGGGGTAACTATTGCTTGTGCTAGAAATTAGGAACTACTTGCTTTTAGTTGCTACATGAGTAAATTGTTTATTTAATAAATTCCAGCATACTATCTTTGCGATATTCTGAGTGTCAAATTGTTTTGGTTGACACATCTCTTGTTGCACTGTTAAGTCATTAAAATACCTAGACCTTACCCATTTGAACATTCCCTTGATCTAAGATCGAGAATCTTACGAAACCCCGTGAATCTAAAACGGTGTATATTTTTTACCCTAGGTCTACTTTGTATGGCTTAATTGTGATCTTGTATTTTTGATTGATTATTAAAAATGACAACACACAATTTTGATTTGAAAACTTTTAATGGAAGGTGACTTTTCCACCTGGCAACAAAAAATGAGAGGTATTTTGGTTCAACAAAAAGTTTCAAAAGTCATTGATGGCAACTTTTCCGTTGATTTTTCAAAAGAACAAAAAGAAGAAGCTGATGAGTTTGCTTATACCTCAATTATTTTACATTTGGCTGACGCAGTTTTGAGAAAAGCGGGTAAACTCAAAATCACTAAAGAACTTTGGAAAAAGTTGAAAGACTTGTATTTGCTCAAATCTACCCTAAACAAGCTCTACTTACTTGAGTGTTTTTTCAGATTCAAAATAGATTCTTCAAAAGATTTTGATGACAATTTAGACGTGTTTAACAAACTTGTTCAAGATATTGTTGACTGTGAAGAGTCAGTGTTTGATACATAAAAATCTATTATTTTGCTAAATTCCATTCCTGATACCTATAAGGAGGTAAAAAATGCTATTAAGTATGGTAGAGACACTTTGACACCCAAAATTGTCATTGACTCCCTTAGAAATAAGGAAATTGAGATTAGAGCTGAAAAACATGATAAGAAGAGTGGTGCGATTCACATGATGAGGGGGTAGAACTCAATTTAGGCAAAACAGTCATGATGGTTACCAAAGTAGTGGCGAGTCAAGTAGTAATGGAGATGGAAAGAAGAGCAAAGGTAGGCCTAGATCCAAATCTAGGACCAAGGTTAAGAAATGTTATGGCTGTGGGAACATATGTCATTTTATAAAGGATTGCTATAAAGAGAAAAATAAGCAAAAGAGTAAAGAGAGAGATGAAGTAAATGTGTTATCTTCTATTTTCGATATTGGTGATGGTGAGGTCTACGTGATTACCTGTCCTATTGCTTATCCTGTTGAATTGAATTTGACTGCTAATTCTCGTTTGCATGAATGGATACTTGATTCTGGTACATCATTCCATGTGATATTACAAAATGATTGGTTTGAAAATTTGCATGAATCAAATGATGGGCATATTGTGCTGTGTGACAACTCTTCTTATAATGTTGTTGGAATTGGTGATATTACCTTAAAATTTGTCGCCGATTTTGTGCTTACTTTAAAAGATGTTAGATACATCCTTGAATTGTCTAGAAATTTGATTTCAGTAGGAAGACTTGAGAAATCTGACTTCA